CTGTGTTACTAGTGCCTGGTATGTAGTAGGTGCTCAGTAAATGTATATTGAACAATTAAGTTAATTTCTCTGTTGGCAACTTTTTAAGGATATGTGCTCCTAGTACTCAACAAGCTATTCTAGGACTTCCTTATCTATATCTGTGGGCAAACTCAGACTACAGGACACCCTTCTGAATCAGTATAAAGTTAGAATTCTAGTTTTGCCTGTGAACATGCTTATTTGTCTTGTCCTGTGACTTTATGATGATTGCCCCTCCACCGGTCAACTTAGCATACAGAACTGTAAATGAGTCTTTTACTAGGCAAATATATATGCTATCTCATAGCTAATTATGAAATTGAATGAAAACTCATCGTTATCGTAAGGATTCATTATTTTTGAAAAGACCCCGTTTGTATACATTTGCTCCAATATAGCAAGTACTGTACAGTTTTTCATTGTCATTTTATCTATATCAAGTATTTAAAAAATATTATTAAAGTCTGTTAGGACTGTGGCTCAATAATTNTCACTAGGGAAACTCAAAATTTTCAAACTGAAGCTCACTAGGCCCAGAAGGTAAACCTCTGTTATCTTTTTCTCTAACTTCTGCCCTGTTATAGTCCATGAGAAAAGCCACACGTTCATTTCTTTTTCTCTGGATATTATTTTAATCTGTTCAGCCAACACATGTTGGATTTTACCTGTCCTGCAAGCTTTTCAGACACCCTTTTCTATAGCACTTTGCACTTTTATTACATCCTTGTATTTAACTGGCCTTTTTGGGGATAAATCCCTACTTTCCTTTGTGTTCGTAACTGGAATAAAAGGCAGTTGTGTACTGGCCCAGGTTTCTAGAGGAATGGTTTTTGAGGCATGTTACCCGTTACCTATTCTAAAGGGCTCAAGTTCATTCTGTGTTACTTCAAATTGTACTGTTGAAATGATCGATGTCATTGCTCCCTGCCTTGTGAAAACAAATCACAACTCCTGGGTTGGTATCTATCAAAGCCTGTTCCCAGGCCTTTGCTTCCTCTTGGATTAAAGCAGAGTTGAAAGCACATCCCTCTGGCTTTCTTTTACTTGTTTCCGAGTGCTGTGTTTGTGAAACAACATTCATCTTTTTCTGGATTTGTAGACACAACCAAAGGTGATATTTTGGGGATACACCTAAACATTCTACATCTGAACTATGACTGTTATAAAGAATGAGTGTAACAAACTCCAATAAAAGGAACACTAATCAGATAAACATAGTTCCTTGGAAATTTTTGCACCCTTAAACTCTAAAGAATAAATATTTTATTAAAAAGGTAGAGGATGACAGAGTGTAATACTTCAAACAGCTGCAAGATTATCAAAATATATCTGAGGAGGCTTTTATGTCATTTGATACCAAAATGTGTATATTTCTCCATAATATGATGATACTATGCATCAGTAAATTTAATAATAAACTGCCACTCCCTCTTATAAACGTCCTTTGTCTTCTTAGCACTAAGATGCTAAGATACTTATCTAATTACATTCTTATATCTTGGAAAAACTTTACAAGGTAATCATCAAACTACCACAGGGTGGAGTATATAATCGATTATTTTTACTGTCCAATAGTGTAGAAAGACATAAAAACAAATGAAAGTCTGTTTATATTAATATTGTCATTGTTTTGCCCATCATAAATGTGGGTGATTAGCTGATCTTGCTTATCTCCAAGTAGTTTTCTTATTCCTACAAAAAGTAAGCTTGATTAAGATATAAAAAAGAGAAGTTAAAAATACAAATTCTTCCAACTGCTTTTTAATGAATCCAACTTCCTAATGTTAATAATCACTGAACCAAAAGNATATTGGTGACACCTAATACAGTGGTTAATTTAATCTTACATACATTCATATAAAGACATATACATACAATGCTGATTACTATTATTACTGGAAGCCAAAAAAATTGTAAAATAAGGGACACACGAATTAGAAGCATTTGGGAATTAAAGTGTATAATTGCAATTGCCTGAGAGAAGGAGAAAGAGAGAGAAAGAGAGACAGAAAGTGAATTACTAGAGATGAGCAATATTTAGTGGAAGTAATGTCACCAAACCGGCGAGAACCAGAAGTACCTGGAGAAAATTCTCAAGGTATGTGAGATATTAAAGGTGTGTGTATATGAGATGAAAACGCCACATATTTCATAAAGACAAAGATCGATGTGGACCTAAGCTCTGAGAAGAAAAAACCCAAAGCCATGATGAGGACAACAGGAGGTGGAACTTTTCTGACAGGAGACTTCGTCCGAAGCCTCTGCCACAGCCAGTCCTTCCTTCAACCTCTGAAAGGCGGATTGGCCACCAATTTGTGCAAAGCGGTGAATGGTTTCTAACTCCATAGGTGTGCCCCACATTTAAATGACTGAATATCACATCACTCTTTAGTATCAATAAATGTTTAAATTGGTATATCTTGCCAGTTATGTATTATTTGTCATCCTCACTGTTAAGCTTCTTACCTTAGGCCCACGGAGAGTTCCTGGAAGGCTCCTTTGAGAGCAGGGAGGAATGGGCAAGGGAATTTGTGTCTTTGACTAACCATCACCCCTGATAGCTCTCTTTGCCTCTCCAGTGCCCACTGAGGGTGTCTCAGCTGCCTGCCACCAACAGGAGATGGGAGTCTGCTCTCTCCTCTCTGCTAAGAAAACTCATGCCTGGTACCCTAGAGAAGGGCCAGTCAGTTCTTAACTCCAGGTGCCAGAGTGACAGAATCTAAATCATCCAGAGCCAGGGTGTGAGGTGGTGAAAATTTGCAGTTGTGTCCTAGATGTAATGATGCCATTCACGAATAGGCACCTCCCTGCCCAGCCAGAGAAGGGTGTCCCAGCAAGACACCTTCTTCCTTTCTCGTGACACCTCGTCCTCCTGCTCAGTGCCTCAGCTGTTTTGACTATGGTTGCCAGATAAAATACAGAACACCCAGTTAAATTAAAATTTCAGATAAACGATGAATACTTTTTTTAAAATGTAAGGATGTCCCAATATTTCATGAAACATCCTTATACTAGAAAATTATTTGTGGTTTACCTGAAATGTAATTTTTTTTTT